GGATGTTCTCGGACGCTAAGTGTGAAAAACGCCCATCTCTGGGTTTTCAAAAATTTTAAAAGTTTAATAATAATCAAATGGTCATAAAAATAGTAATGCAATTAGATTAATAGAGTTAGGATAGTTACAAGACAATAAAAGATAAAGAATTACGGATGTCCGGATGCTCTCGGATGCTAAGTGTGAAAAACGCCAATCACTTGGTTTTAAAAAATTTAAAAACTTTCATAATTATAAGATGGTTATAAAAATAGTAATACAATTAGAGTAATAAAGTTTAGAGTTAGGACAATTACAAGACAATAAAAGGCAAAGAATCCTGATACTCTTGGGCGCTTACACCCTGACAAGCATGTTTTGTGAGCAAAGGAATAACCCTTAAAAACCATACACTGTTGCATATTCATACATACATCATGGTTATGCATACATTCTATTTAAAATAAGAAACTCTGTCTGGAATATGTCAATTCCTTCTTTTAATCCCAACGGCCTCTTCGAGTCTGAGCAAGGCCTGAAGAAATTAATTTCTTCTGATAAGAAGCCATAAATTCCTCTCCTTTGGAAGATTTAGGTGGTCCTCAAAGCGAGTATCTCATTCCTAAAAAAAGAAAAAAACTTACCCCCCACATACAGAGTCTTTATTTTTTTTTTTAAACTACTAAAGTCTTCATTTTAACTACAAAAGCACAACTAATCAATATAACATAATACATAAAGTAACTATGTGTAGAGCCATATAAAATGCATTTTTCACATCAGCGAGGAAAAGCCACATCCAGCAGCTGAGGCTTCCCCCAGTAACGCTAGATGGTACCAGAGCTCCACACAGGCTCAGCCAGGACTCAAAAATAAAAGAAATAAAACAAAAAAACCCCAAAAAAACCATGGGAATTCTGAACCAGCTGCGATGTCCTGACCTGCTGCTGGCACAGGGAATCCAGTTTTCGAAGGGGAAAAGCCGACGGGAGAATAAAATAAAGATATTTCCCCGTGTTCAGGGCTACAAGTGCGATGTGTTTGTGGTTAAAGTCGCTCAGCAGAGTGATGGGGTTACAGCACCTGGGAGAAAAAGTTTGAGGACAGATTCTGAGGGAATTTTTCACTAATAGGAATCAGTTAAAGAAAATCTAAGAAGGATTTTAACTGGAGCAGAACCTGCCCACGGCAGGGCATTGAAACTGGGTGGTCTTTAAAGTCCCTTCCAACCCAAACCGTTCTGGAATTCTATTCCATGGTTACATCTTAAAAATGAAGTGCCCTGATACCTTTAATTCCTGCTATCCTTAATATTTTAATATTATTAAACAGCACTCAGAACACGATCACCTTTTTCCTTCAAGCAACTGCGCACCCTGCCTGAAATATTCATGCATTCAAAAAAAAAAAAAATTCCCTCTTCCTGCAAATGAATATTTATTCCATGAATAATCTTGAATGTCTTTGTGGCTTTCAACACATTTGGGCAAAATGTTTCAAGTTTCTCTGCTTACAATGACAAAGTCTAAACCCGACACCTAAAGAGGTGGCCTGATTTCAGCTCTGTGGGGCATTTTCTAGAGACATAATTTCCTCCCCCTTGCTGCCTCCTTAGCACTACACGGTTTTAGCAACCTTGAGGAACTCAGCGCAGCAATTTGGGGGATGAAATGAAGTATGGAGATAGCAGGGAGAAATAACAACAGCAGAGCTGGCCCTTGGCCAGAAGACTTTTCTCTAAAACTCTGCTCTCATGCAGAAATTCCTGATTCTCTGCCCGTGGCAGGGCGTTGGGACTGGATGAGTTTTAGGGCTCCTTCCAACCCAAAGCATCCTGTGATTCCATGATTTTGTGAAGTCCTGGGAGATGATCTTATGGCTAAATATGGTCAGGACTTGAGTGCTGTGCCTTGTCCAAGACGCAGTGACATGGGTGGTTCCTCTTTCCAGATGAAGAGTTGGCGGCAGCAGCTTATTTTTAGTGGTGTGGGTGTAAAATATTGAATTTCGCGTCGCCTGAGCTCGGTCTGCTCTGCCCTGGTGGGTTTTGTGCCCAGATCCAGCCAAGCTCGAGGTCTGGGACTGACATCATGGAATCAGAAGATGCTGGAAGGGACCTTAAAGCTCATCCAGTTCCAATTTTAGGCACCTTCCACTGTCCCAGGTCGCTCCAAGCCCTGTCCAGCGTGGCCTTGGACACCGCCAGGGATCCAGGGGCAGCCACAGCTTCTCTGGAATCTGTGCCAGAAACATCTCAAAGCACAGCTAGAAATGCGAACAGATTGATGTGTTTGACAGGTGATTCTCACATCCCTCCTTCCAGGAGACTCTGCAGCTGTTGGGACATCACCTGGACACTTCAGCTCCCTGGCAATGAGCAGCTGAGCGCCAGAGGAGTGGGATTCTACCCTCCAGCTCCTCAAGGCAGAGGGAATTTCTCTCTGACCACAACAGCAAACAGACCATTAAAACATCTGTTCAAAAACCTTTCACGTCCCATTTGCATTCACTGCTACTTCATTCTGCTGCTCAGTTTGTACCTGGTGAAAGGTTTGGGATAGATCACCGGGCTGGAAAAGGCTCTGAGGATCAAAACCTCCAATCCCACCTGGGCAGGTGCTAATCCAGCAGCTGAGCCCACCCCAGATGACTCCTGTCATGCCTCTTTTGGCCCCAAAAATGATGTTCAGAGCTGGAAATGGAAAGGAGATTCTTAGAACTGAGCTTTTGGGAAAGAGCTGTGGGGTTTTCCAGCTTTCTCCATGGGGTTGTGAGGGCGTGTCCCCCCTTTTCACCCTTGGGGAGCCCCTCAGCACTTTGCTGTGTGGGACCTGCTCAGGTTTCAGGGGGAAACAGGATTTAGGTGATGCTAATGTGTCAGTGAGGGAACCTGTTTGTACCCTGGTGTTGCTGAGATGGGAGGAAACCAGCCCAGGTGTCCAAAAAAAATCCTGGATTCAGGAGGAGGGCTTGGGATGAGAACGTGCCTCACTGTGCAGGAGGGAAATGGGAGCAGAGCGAGGAACGTGGGTGAAGCTCAGGGCCTGCAGTGGGGTCTGTTCCACCTAAATTAGAAACAAGCTGCTACCTGAGCCCTGATTTTGTGAGGGAATTACATTTCTGGGGTGATGGCCCAGTGATGTTCCCCTCACAACTTCATCCCAATGTCATTCCTGAATTCTGGTGCCAACTTCAACTGGAGAACAGCTCCAAATCCCAAAGGTGACACATTTAACAGGTTTGTGAGAGATAGAAACCCTTTGTTCATGCCTTCTCTGAGTTCAATCACAACCAGAAAACTTCAAATCCACAAAGACATGGGACAAAAATTCCCAAACCGTGGAAAAGCCTTCACACCTGTGAGATACCAGAGGCCCACACAGGAGAAAACCCCCAAAAAGAGGACTCTGGGTGCAAGAGCTGCTCTGGGTGAGGTATAAATCCTGTTTTTTCTTTCCCCACGTGGTTTTCCTGGTGTGTAGGAAGGGGTGAAATCCTGACAGAACCCCAGTTTGGTTTAAAGGTCCATCAGCCCTGAGGCACATTGGACACCAGGCTCCATCCCTTCCCAGCACTGACAGGACCAACACAGATTCCGGTGCTTGAAAGAAAACGTTTTGCTCTGCTCTTTCCTCTCTCGAGCCCACGTAAAGCAGAAAGGAGATGCTGTGAGAAGGATGGGTAGTTCAGAACACATGAAATGCTCTTTTTTCTTTTTGGTTTTCCAGCAGGGCAGGAGCCAGGCCAGGGCAGGAGGATCCTGCGGAGCCGCCGGCGCTGCTTCCCGAGCCGGGAGCAGTGGAGATGCTCCTGCCTCGGCACAGCGGCGGCCAAGAGCCCTCGATTGAAGAACCAGATGAGTCTGAACCTCCTTGGAATTCCTTCAAAAATCTGCCAGCACTCTCCTCCCCGCCGAAAACCGGATAAATCCCCTTCGTATTCCCGCTCCGAGCGAGGCCCTGAAATATTATCAGTGCTCTTTGACACCCTACCTGCCCCTCATCCCACCTGGCTTTGAATTTCCTCTGCTTTCAGGGGAAAAAAAAAAAAAAAGTCGGATTCATTCAAGCCCTGACACTCCTCCAGCACTTGGGTGATCAAGTCTCCTCCGGTTTATATTTGATATTTTAATAGGGTTTCCTTTTGGCCCTTTAATGAGTTTTTATTCCCTTCTGTGCATCAGACGCTTCGGTCTGACCGACAGTTTTACTCACCCCATGTGGAGGAATATGAACAGCCAGGACAACCTTTTCTTCCTGTGGCAAGATTTGCTCTGCCAACATTTTTCTTCAGCAGTTGGGGGATGTGTCCTGACCCTTTCCTCGCCCATCCTCCAGCCCTGGAGCTGGGATGTTCCTGCTGGTGCCGAGCAGGAGCAAACCCAGCCCAGGCTCTCAGCTCTGCAGCAAGGAAGGAGGGAGAAAAAGAGTGAGAAAATGATTCAAAATTAAAGCAAATGTGGGGTTTGGCTCGTCTGAGCAGCTGGGTTTTGTTAGTTCAGCCTCAGCCCAGGCGCTGGGGACAATTTACCACAGGGGCTGTGCTTGTGCCTGGGGAGAGCTCCATTCATCCATCAGAAATTCAGAATCACTGAAGGGTTTGGGCTGGAAAGAGCCTCAAAAACCATCCCATTGTACCCCCTACAGCTTCCACTATCCCAAACCCTGTCCAGCCTGGCCTTGGACACTGCCAGGGATCCAGGGATAGCCGTAGCTTGTTTGGGAATTCCATCCCAGTGTCTCCCCACCCTCCCAGGGAGGAATTCCTTCCCAATATCCCACCTCAACCACCTCTCTTTCAGTTTCCCCCCTTGTCCTGTCACTACAGAAATTATTTCTGACATACCCCAAGCTGAGCAGGGAGAAAGAGCAGGTTTCATCCTGCAGGGCAGGAGGTGCTCAGTGTCCTGCTGGGAAAAGATCCCTGACTGATCCTCCCCATATCCTGCCCCGAGCTGGAGGTGCCAAATCCCATTTTTCCCCCCACGGATGGCAGCAGTGGCTGCTGCCACAGGAGGGGTTCTAAAGGATCCCACACCCCACAATAAATCAGTGCCATGCAGGCCCCCAAATCCTGCTGGACAATGGGTGATGTGGAGAGGGGATGGAGAGGGGGAAAGGCAGAGCCACCCAAGGAATTGAGATCCCACATGAACAGCAGGACCTGCTCCAAGTGATCTTGGGCTACTGGAGTTCTCCAGCACAGAAGTTCATGGAAAAATTGAAATAAAGTAAATTTTGGGGTAGAAAGATTGGCAGGAAAAATCTGCAAACCCTTTTTTGGGGTGTTTTGTTCTGCATTTTAGGAATTCTCAAGGTGCCTTCTGCTGTCTGCGGGCACAGGGGTCCTTGTGCTTAATTCCACAGATCCAGCAGAATTGCAGAGTTTAAAATCCTCTCCCACTGAAGGTTCCACGTTAAACTTGGGCTTGGTTTTTGATGTTGCAGGAGGCTGATGCTCATCTGCTGAGAATTAGGAGGTTATTATCCTATAATCCAAATTGCCTCTTTTCCACAGGCAGAAAATGACAGGAATATTTAAGCCCCTTGCCCAGATTGCAAACTTGGTGGCAGAGCCCTGCACCCAGTAGTACCTTGCATCTGATAGCTGCCAACAATTTCAGTCAACTGTTTAACATCTGGCATGACTATTTAATGTCTGGCTTAAGCTGTAACCTTTCTTTCCCCCCTGCTTTTAAAAAAGCTTTTTCTGCTTTGAGATAATTTTGATTACTAAAGCCTTGCCCAGGACAGATTCATCCTGTGATTTAACATTTTCTGATGGAGCCTCATTTTGAATCAGTTGAATAATTGGTAATGACTCTGGTATTAAACTGATTCATGATGTACATGCAGGCCCTTCGATAATTGAACATTATTGTCTTTATAATCAAAGCCCCTTTTTGGCCATTAAAAACTGTTGGAAACAGTCTGGTGATCTGCTTTAATTAAAAATAAAGCGCAGAGGATTGGAAATGAGCAGGGATGAGAGACACTCTGTGGCCCTGTGCAGCTCCAAGATGGGCTGAGAAATCCAAAGCCAGGCTGGATGAGCCTTGGAGCAGCCTTGGGTAGGTTTAGGTGGGATTTTGGGAAGGAATTCCTGCCTGGGAGGGTGGGGAGCCCTGGCACAGATTCCCAGAGAAGCTGTGGCTGCCCCTGGATCCCTGGGAATGCCCAAGGCCAGGCTGGATGGGGATTGGAGCACCCTGGGATGGTGGAGGGTGTTGGGATTGGAAAGGGATGATTTAAAATTCCCTTCCACCCCAAACCACTCCAGGATTCTCTGGTTAAATAGGTTTTCTCCCCCTTCTTCGGAAAGGGATGAGCTTTAAAATTCCCTTCCACCCCAAACCACTCCAGGATTCTCTGGTTAAATAAGTTTTCTCTCCCTTCTTTGGAAAGGGATGAGCTTTAAAATTCCCTTCCACCCCAAACCACTCCAGGATTCTCTGGTTAAATAGGTTTTCTCCCCCTTCTTCGGAAAGGGATAAGCTTTAAAATTCCCTTCCACCCCAAACCACTCCAGGATTCTCTGATTAAATAGGTTTTCTCTCTGCTTCTTTCGACAGCTCTGACCTGGGATCAGTTAAAAAACCTGGGGAGCGCACGAGAGAAATCCACGACTCCCAGCACTGTGAGGTGCTTTGGGTGAAAAACGAACACAAACGGCCCAAATCCCTCTCTTTTGGGATCAGCACAGCTGCTGTGGCTGGGTTTTGGTGTCCCTGCTGCCGGGGGGAGCCCTGGGATGAGCGTCCACCCGAGGAATCCCGCGGGGAGAGGCTGGCGGGGCCTCGGCTCCCCGAATTTTGAGGTGTCCTTTTCACACTGCAGCCCTGGCCAGGCTCTGGCAGGGCTCTGATCTAACAGGTTTTGCATAGCTGCTAGACATCTTCCTAATAGCATCCCCTGGGAATTCTAAATTTCACTCACAGCCTCTAAATTTTCATTAAGAGCAGTCACACACGGAGAATGATGGATTAGATTTTATTGTTGGAAAATCTCCAGATAAAATTAAAGTGCTTCTTTCTTTTCTGAAACCTTTACCTTTCCCCTGTGGTGCCCTATAAATAAGGTATCAAATAATGTTTATCCTTTTGAATTCTGCCATCTTACATGTTTCATGCTTAGCCCTGACCACTTTCCTGCCTCTGAAGAGATGTCACTCTTCAGTTAAATCCCGGGAACAGACAGCTACCTCATGGATTTCATTGTGCAGCAGCCTGTGTCCCGGAGCCTTCACTTCAACCCACTATTTATAAATACAGCGTTGTCTCCTTCCCTTTCCTGGAAGCCTTTCTTTCATTTCCTTCCTCTTTCCATCAAATTCCCTCTGTCCTTTCTTTTATCCCGACTTCTCCAGCCTCTCTGTGTCCACCTAATCCTGCAGACAGATGAGGCAGGGCTTTGGGATGTGCTGGGATCACGGGGCTGAGGCACTTCCAGCCTCCACCAGCCAAACCCTGAGAAGTGGGATCCGCTCCTGGCCAGCAGATTTTTATAGCAGATGTTGTTTTTTCCTCAGTGAAATTTAAAAAAAAACAAAACCCTCTGCTATTATTTTAGGACTTGAAATAGTTTTGAGATGCTTTTAGTCTCCCCTTGAAAAAGCAAGAACCCTGCAGGCAGTTGATAGGAAGTGTCCAAGAGCTGGGAGTGCTGCTGTGATTCATACTGGTGTCAGCTCAGTTAAATTAAATTCCACGGGGATTTATCCAGCCAGGCCTCCAAACAAGTTTTAGACAGCATCTCCCACCCCCAAACCTCGCACTTCACAGCATCTTAAATTAATCCAGAGAAAGGCCGGGGCTGGGAAGGGCTCCTGCTTCCCACCACAGCCCAGGGAAGGGAGAACTGCAGGATTGCAGCTGGTTTGACACAAGTCATCACTGCCCATGGGGGTCCCCCGGCTCAAATTGGGTCAGGGTCCTGCTGAGCACTTACCTCAGAGGGTGTCCCTGGCAGGTGGGACCCCAAGCCCAGCTGGCTCTGTCACCCCTCGGGCACTGCAGGTGGGTCCTGGGCTTGTGCAGACCCCCAGGACAGGGGATTGTCCCCAGAGCATGGCCAAGGCTGCCCTTCCAGCCCTCCTGAACCTCTCCTGCTGCTCTTTCCCCACAGCACAGGCTGCTCTCGAGGCTCGTTCCCACCATTTTGGGACATTTTCCTGCGGTTTATGTACTTAAATAGGAAGATATTCCACTCTGCCACAGAGCCGAGCCAAATCCTTGTCTCAGAGTTCCTCCAGCCTGCCTGGATCAGCCAGAACTCAGCCTCCCTCTGCACAGGGAAGGCGAAGAGATTTCCAAGAGGGAGAACTTCTCCTCATCATGCCTCTCCCCAGGAGCACGTGAGGGAGTTACACAGGCAACTGTGAGGGTCAAACTCATTAAAATCAGAAGGATTTGGCCAATTTGTACCAGCTGGGCACCAGGCCCTTGGTTTTCCCTCCAGTTTTGATTATCCACCCCTGACCTAAGGGCTGCTTCCCAGAGCAAGGATGCCAGGAAGAGCCCACGAGCACCCGTGGCTGTTATCCCTCTGTTTTCCTTTGTAAAAATTTCTCAAAACTCTTCTCAGGCCAGAAGAAAATTTACCCACAGGCTGGGCAACAAAGAGAACCGGATCCCAGCCTCATCCTCCCTGCTGCACCTTCATGTCATCCCAGAGGAAGCAGAGAAAGGAGGAAAACTCCCTGGATTTATTGGCCACTTTTACAGCTTTGTCGGTGTCGGAATCTGAGGTATTGATGATTCTGAGATTGTAGAAAGTCTCTGTCTGTCAGCCCCGTTGCCAAAGCAGAAGCCATAATTGGTCTGTGCTGGTTTCCAGGTTGTTTATTCTGTTGATCTCTCACATGTTCTGCTGCCCTGCCCAGCTCTGTCCTGCAGGGCAGCGTGTGGGGCTCTGCCCTCAGTGGGATGTGACAAACATTAAATACCAGAAACTCCCTGGG